AAATCCTTCAGTGCTGTAACTCTTTACATATGCTGTCTACCTTGAACTGAGTTTACAACACTTAATATTCCAATAAAAACAATTTCTGAGTAGAGCTCTGAACATAACATTTAAAACTACATTATGCATCTTTATTGATTTTTCCTAATAAATTGTTTTAGTTCAAATACTTCTAGTTATAGGAAAAAAACCTTCAGAAATGGCATGTAGAATTAAGATCTCCTCCTTTTTTGGTTTAGTATACAGTCAAGTTAAGATTCTATTTGATTTAAGGCATGGAAAATATTCTAGAAAACCCCACAACACCATGCATAAAACTGCAGATAGAACGTACAAATCCCCAGGTTGACACAATTTACAACAATAGTTGATGCTGAGCAAATCAAATGATACATAGATATGCATGCATGTGTAAGACGGTGCTGATTCATACTATAGTTAACATGTAAGAATCTAACAAAACAAAAAAGGTCTAATTGTAGGCATTTTTTGCATGCAGGACGCAACCAAGGGTGAAATCTGATTTTAGTCCAACTAGAACAGACCTACAGAAATCAATAGAAATATTTAAATCATGACTAACAAGTCTTATTCAGTGTAGTGGATCTATTCAGCTTAGTACTACAGTTGGATTAATCCCCAAATCTCTATAAAGAAAATAAATTATAAGATCTTTGAGATGCTTCTAAGTCTGTATTTTCCTAAAATATAATCTTCCCATTCAAACATTTCACTAGATGCCTATAAACCATTATCTCCTTACGTATTTATCAAAATTAAAAATTTATTCTGAAATCTGATACTGAGACAACAATATTCTGCACAGAAATCCAACTACGAAATGGTCTATTTTTAGCATTCCGGCTCTCCACTGTTTTTGTTTGTTTGTTTGTTTGTTTTTGTTTTTTGCTCTTATGGCAACATGAGGCCTAGATTTTACAAGATTTCACATCAGTTCTTTCAAAATTAATACCACGCAATTACAACTGGGAACTAATAATATTTTCTCAGTGCCTGTCAAAATACACTGCTTACTGTTTCAAAAAATTTCAAGCCGAAGTCTTAAGGAAAGTCATTGGCTCATTATCCAACTATCTGGCAATCAAGGGCTATTACAATTAAAGGGTGGAAGGGATAATGCCTTTCCTTTTCCCCACATCTTCTACATGGAATTATGCAAATATATATCGTCCTATTTGGAGGACTGTGACCAAGAGAATATTCAGGAAGCATGGGTTTTTCAGAGGAAGAGGATGGGTTTGTATAAGTACAAATCTGAACTCACATGTTGCCTGCATGCATAGAAAGGCATGTTGTTGTCAAATATGATACGCTATGCACAGTCTGTGTGCTCCCAAGCCTCTCATCCACACACTGTGTACTTTGCATGAATGAATTTCATTAGGTATATGCCAACAGTGGTTTGTTGTTCTGTTCAAATTTACAGACCACAAACCACAGGGCAAGTGCACCACCTCAAAAAGGGAACAAATTTCTGAAACCATGTTTTGGCCAACAAGAAGCTCTAAAGCATGCTATTGTTACTTGTTTGTTACACATTGGAAAGCTCAGTATGAGCTCTTAAGGGAAGTTCACACAAACTAATCTTTCAATTTACAACTCAAACCAAGCATTCCACGGAAATGTCCCAAAACCAGCAAGCATGATGTAAGTATCTAACTACTACTCCTCTTTAAAATAAATAAATAAATAAATTGTAAATTTGAGGCCTCAACCAAAGCACAATGGAAAAGCAGAAGTCCCATGCATTCTTCCATTTTGAGAAGAGAAATGCTGGCTATGTAAACATGCAAACATAGTAAGAATGATTATGAGATATACAAGAGCCATCTAAGAAAAGGAGTCAGTTCAGACAGACAAAAAGGATTTGAAAGTACACTCACCCTCCACTTTTGATTATACACAGATTTTATTAATATGTTCTCTCTAGGAATATCTAGGTCCTCCAGCGCAACTCTTTGGTCAACTTTAACCAAAAGTCACACTGAAGGACCTAGAGATTCCTAGAGAGAGCACTCCACTAGGTATTTGTACCTCCTCCAGCACAATTCTATGGTCAATGTCTGGCAGATGTTGACCACAGAATTGCACTGGAGGACCTAGAGATTCCTAGAGAGGTAAAAACATAGCGTTTTTGTTATTTCCAGTTTTTCCACATTCACGGGGGTCCTGTGCCCGTAGCCCCAGCGAAAGTGGAGGGGCAAGTGTACATATCAGAGGTTCAATGCATTGTTCTTCATAAATTACTTCTCTGAACACCTGAACTCAAATCTCTCAGAAACAATTTTTTAAAAATGTATATAGTTTGAAAAAGTGTGGCTTTTTAATACCATGCTCTCAAGACCATAAGAGATAACTTTGACTAAGGGCCTTTGCAGACTGTCAGAAATAGTGCACATTAAATTGAGGCACTGCTCTGGCTCAGTGCTAGGGAATCATGGGAACTGTATTTTTTTTCTGAGACATTGAGCCTTCTCTGTCAGAGAGCTCTGGTGCCACAATAAATTACAGTTCCCATGATTCCCTAGCACTGAGCCAGGGCAGTGCCTCAATTTAATGTGCACTATTTTTGGCAGTCTGCAAAAGCCCCAAGTCACCCAAGGGAAATAGGCTCTAATCACAAGGTGGGGACTAGCACAACTGTTATTATGCTTGCTCCTGGAGCAGCTGGGAATTGCCCTTCATGTTGCCTCCGAAGCAATACAGGTTTGGAAACAGAAATAATCATTTCTCCTTGGGATGTACAAAAGTGGGTTTTTCTTTTCTGTCAGTTTTCAAATTCTGTTTTATCCTATCTTCTCTCATTCTCCTCTCTGTATTTTACTGAGTTTTTAACTACAAAGGTTCTCATACATGCAATTTAAAATATCTATATGCTTTCCTGATCATTCTTTATAATGAAGTGTGGCAGTCATTGAAGAGTAGCAATAACCACCATTATCTAATAATCTCACCAGACAGACTGTTCTAAACAGGGATATCTTACTCTTAATTGTTTTACATCATCATCATCCAATTTCTACAAATTAAAGAAATGGGACTAGAATATGCAATCTGCAATTGTCTCACTCTGAAGAGCTTCCCCACCTCTAATAGAATAGGAAATTTCAAAAATTGGAGTATGGATTAAAGAAGGCTCCCAAATGGTTTTAAATTCAGCACCCTGGGCAGCAAATATCTAATTTAACAAAAAAAAACATACACATACAAAATTAAGATTTAGATTAGGATCTGGTTGAAACTCAATAGATCTATTTGGTGTATTGTTTATATAAATTACAGCCCTAGTTAGAAAAATAATTCCCTTTTCTATAAAATAGTCCCCATAACTCTGTTCAGTCTAATGGGGAGCCACCAGGATTATTAAACTTATATCTCTGCTACCTGTTCCTCTGACCTTCTTTCAATAATGAGTTATCTGCTGAATGTAAAGATGGTCCCTTCAGAGCATCATTAGCCAGCCAGCAAAAGGCTGCTTTCTACAAGAAGTCACTCCTCTGAGCTTATTAGAGCTACCTTACACAACCCGCAAGGATAACTATGGGTTTCAAATCCTCCTTTTTTTTTTTTTTTTAAAGTATATCCAGATGCTTCATTCCCCTGTGGCAGTGGTGAGAAAGGTGCAGCTTTCCAGATGAGAGAATGCAATTCCTGTCAACCTTAGTCAGCATAGGCAATACTGAGAAATCATGGGAGCTGTAGTTCAGTAATATCTAGAAGTTTCCATCTCTGCTCTAGAGTACCCTTCCACCAACCCTGTACTCTAAAATATGCTGAATTGCAACTCCCATCACCTCAACCAGTTTGTTGGGGAGTACTGGGAGCATTATTTTTAAACATCTGGAGGGTGTCAGATTCAGGAAGGCTGCTCTAGGGTGGCCAGCACAAAGTTGGAGGATATGACTCTTTAATGTATCCAGTCAGTAAATAAAGGTAAGTGGCTAGAACTTCAGAACTTCAGATCACAGACGGCCTGCTGTGAC